ACTAATAATAATAATAATACGAAAGCATCATCCATCTCCCCTTGAAATAATGAGCCTGGTCTCTCAGAAGCGTTTTGTTGTAATCTTGGGAGATAATGGCGAAGATTTTAAGAGAAGAACTAATTAGAGAAAAGTCGAAACAAAACACAACAAATGTAAATGGTGAAACGGAAAACACGGAAGGGAAACCGAAAAGAAAATGAAAAAAAAAAAAAGAAAGAAATCTGTGCAAGGATTCTCGGCGCCTTTCTCCGAGTCTTTTGTAGTCAGTTCGAGACAAAGACACTTACAGTTAGTAAAACTCACTGCTTCACTGTCAAAAAGAAAATGTAAAAAGGAAGTCAAAACGAACGCCGTTTTAACAAAGTAAGTAACGTGGGGTGGGGGGATGGGGATGGCGTAGATAATGGTAATTAAAATAAAAGTGAAGCGAAAAACCAAAGATTAAATACATTCAAATTAAATCAAGTACTGTATACATAAAGAACCAAGGGGGAAAAATAAACAAAATTTTCAATCTGGACTAAACAAAGGCGTTGTGGAGAAAATGACAAGTGTTTGCTTAGCTGCTTGTTTTATTATAGGAATTGTTTTTCTGTTTATTGAATTTTTCTGCTCATCATATCTAATGGCTTTCAATGAAATCATGTGACAACAAGTCTCATCAATATTTCTGAACTCACTGATTCAACCTGGTTAATTACAACAATATCTATTATTATTATTATTATTATTACATAAAATGATTGATATAAATCTACCAATATTTTTCAACTCTTAGGGTAGAGAGCGGTTCAAGAAAAGCAAAAGAGAACAAAATATCAACTAATGTTCAAAAGTATTTCGACAGTGTTTGACGCGTTGGTTACCACCATATCTGTTTTTCTCAAGACAAGCGACGTTTGTACAAAGATTTGTATTTTTTGTCGATTTTTTATATGTTTATACTTGTATACAATTTTTAAGCATAATTTGAAGAAGATAGGCATACTGTTCTTTTCTTTTCCTTTTGTTAAATCTTCTCTATGTGTTGTATTATTATTATTATTATTATTATTATTATTATTATTTCCTTAGGTTTTTGTTGCATACACATTTCCATCCGGGTCCCAAATAGAGACCTAAGGTCTGAAATGCTTTCATGGTATTTTCAACTGAGCGCTTTTGAAAAAAAAAAATAAAAATAAATAAATCTAAGATTACACATATTTTCCCAAAGATCTTTGAGGTCTTTTTAATGTGTGAACTTTACTTGTGAGTGCAATTTTTTGTATTTCTTTAACGCATGGGCTACCAAGAATCTTTTCAATAAGTATATCAGAATATTTCCAATCAAAACCAATGGTTCCAACTACTACTGGAATTATAAATGTTCTCATGTGCCACATTTTTGAGAATTCTACTTCAAGATCCTTGTAATTTTAATAGATTTTGGAAGATCTTCAAAGATACATTACAATCTGCATGGACTGGCATGTCAATAAGAAAGCAGATTCTGTTCTTGTGGTCTTTGATCTTTGATGTCTAGGCGATTACCTTTGATTGTTCTGTCTCTGTACATTGTAAAGATAGTTACAGGTCCTATCTCTGTAACCAGGTTTGGGTGATGTTCATACCAGTTTCTTGCAGTTATTATTGATGATTTGTGTATATTGTTTCCTGTGCAAACTATGGTCCTTAGGCGCTATAGGAGAATTGTCATTTAATTGATAGCATATGGGATGGTCCTAGTAGGTTGATCTTCAGGACAACTTGTATATTGATGTTACCAGGGACACTGTTAATAAAATTGTCCATTCCTTTTCTCACGAGGCCCAGAGCTCCGATTACTATTGGTACAGTCTTCATTCCCCACATCCTGTTAATTTCGATCTCTAGATCCTTGTATTTGGACAATATCTCGATAATTTTTCTGGAGGTGTTTCTCTCGGATGGCAATGCTATGTCAATAAGCATAAACTTCATGAATTTCTTGTCTTTTATAATAACATCAGGTCTGTTGGCTTTTATTTCCCCTTCAGTTTGAATTATCATGTCCCAGAGGATAGTTACATCGTTATTTTGGGTAACTGTGTCTGGTTAGTGCTTATACCATCTCACAGCAGTTTCGATTTTGTGCTTCTTGCATATCTTCCAGTGCACATATATCGCTACCTTGTTATGTCTGTGGATATATTCTTTTTTTTTTGCCAGTTCCAAACATCCTAAGATAATATGATCGACAGTTTCATTATATTTTCCGCAGATCTTGCATTTCGGGTCCGTTTCATCGTTGATTATGTGACAGTGATAGGATCTGGTTTCGAGGCTTTGGTCCCGAGTTGCAATAATAATAATAATAATAATTATTATTATTATTATTATTACTCGTTAATTGTATCATGGAACAATAATTCCCCTCAAATATTCGGTACTCTTTTCTGTAATCATTCAATATCCTTATTTTGCATGTTTTCTTTGTTTACTTCTTACACTTCCTCCTTTTCTTCTACTCAATTTTTTCTTTTTTCTTTTTCATTTCTTGCTATCTTTCTTTCTTACTTTTCTCGATATCGCTTCGTTTTTCTATTGCTGCTTTATTTTCTTTGTCTTTCTTTTTATCTTTCTTCCCTTTTTCACCTTTCTATTCTTCTCTTTCTAAATATACATTTTCTTTTAAGCCTGCTTTTCTCTCTTTTCATTTATTTTTTTTTGTTCTTTTCATTTTCTCTTTTTTTCTTTTTTCAGTCTTCTTTCTTTGTTACTTTCTTTCATACTTTTTCTTTCTTCCGTTATTTTTCTGGGTTTTTTTTTGTTGTTGTTTATCTCTTTCTTTTGTTTTTTTTTTCTATTTATTCCTCGGGTCTTCTTTCTTTTTTCTGTCTCTTTGCTTTTGTCTTTCTTTATTTCTTAATGTCTTTCTTTTTCTGTCTTTTTATATTCTTTTTACTTCTAATCGCTTTTTTCTTCTTTTCATTTTCCTTTCCTTCTTCCTTTTCTTTCATGTTAGTTTTTTTTTACTTCTACTTAAACGTTTCTATTTTTCATGTGTCTTTCCGCTGTTTTCTCTTTCTTTCTTTGCTTTTTCTCTTTCTTTCTTTCTTTCTCGATTTCCGTTTTCATTATTTTTATCGTGTTTTCCTTCTTTCCTTATTTCTTCTTGTTTTTACGTTTCTACTTTTATGTTTTCTATCTCTTTTTCTTTCTTTTATTTTGATTTTCTATTCTGATTTCTTTTATTTTTAATTAGCCCAACGTTCATTTTATTTTTCTTACAATACTTTCTCGGTCTTAACACCGAATGTTTCTTCACACCTTTCTTCATTTAAATCTTTCCTCACAAAATATTTCCACATGTCCACTCGGCAATGAACAACACATCACAGAAGTCACTCAAAATGTTCCAACCTCCAACACCCACCCCGATTATTTCCTCGTTTCCAACCTCCAATTTCCATTAAATCCTGTCCGATAATATTCGCGCAAACAATTGTGATAGCCGCATTTTTATAGCCTTGAAATGTCTGCAGAAATAATTTCACGTCAAAGTTTCGCAACACGAGCCAACAAGACTTGGAAGGCAATCGATATAAAAACGAAGAAAAGATTCGCAAGAGAAATGAAGCAAGGATGAACGTTAATTGTTTTATGTCAACTGATGATATATCCAGTAAGGATTTGATTAAAAGCCAATCGTCATTTATAAAATCTCTTCATAATACATTCCAGCTCTGGCCAGCGTTAGCTAATCGGACAAATATGGCTACCCTGGGGATTTTGATTGTCGTCTGCTCAGCAAGTCATTAATAAAGAAAACACTAGGAAGATAAATCATGAAAATAGAACAACGTATTCTTATATAGACGTATATTTTAGACAAGGTAGGAGTGTGGCAGAAGGATTAGAACATTAACATTTCGACTATGAAAACTGAGATCGAATCACTCCGTTATTGGTTTGTCAAGAAAGTGACTGAAAATCATGTCATGGGTTGAGGCAAGCTTTGTGAATGAGATTGGATTGAGAAAACATGCCAGAATGTGTCAATGGTTGTGCTAGTATGAAGGCATATGTCGTGTTCAAGGACTGATCACGCCAGATTATTCGTTCTCTTCCATTAAGCGTAAGCAACGCATGCTCAAGTACAGTTGTACAAGCCACGCTTTAGCTTTGTGAGTTTTGAAAAAACACAACAATGACCTTAAGTAGGCGTCTTTAACGGGGATTAACTAGCCATCCTAGCAGACTTCAGACGCCATTGGCAACCGAGATTAACGAATGCCTATATTATTTTAGTCAGAGGATGATTGTTGACAAATTTGACAAATTTTCAAAACATTTACTTGTTTAGAACATTCGATCATCACAGAGTACTACTCTATTGTGTTCTTGTGTTAAACCAAGACAATGTTAGCAGATATTTTCTAAGATTATCAGAGTCTGGCACAAGGTCATTATTGTATAGCATCAAGCGCGGCTAAAACTCAGCAGTAATTTTCAGATAGTAATAATAAGCACTAGGGTAATGGTGAGATTATCTGTTTCCTTATAACGAAACATTCGGCATTTGGTCAGCACTAATTTCAGTTGGAATTTACAAAATTATTCACTGAAAACATTTTTTCGGGTCGCTGTGTGAAAGTGCATATACCCGGGCGGACTGTATACTGTCCAGAGTCGTGGACAGCAGAGGACAAGCGTGGAACATCCGTACTTATCAAGGGGGTCATGGTTCAGAGGGTTAAGTATCCTCTGATTTGGGGATCGATGAGGACAAATCTTGTTTGATGTAGTAGTATTAACTTTAACTCGAAATAATTTATACACTGACCGGACAAACACATTCAAAATAAAACGTGTAAGACGTTCGATTCCATATATTTTACATATTTTTGCTCTATACTGGGCTGTTAGTACTGAATGAAACATCGCTACCATATCTTGGTTGGAGCAACCAAATCCACACTTTCCAGCGATTAAAGAGTCTTGTAAAGGAAAACTTATTTTCTCGGCTTACAACACGGCCATATCGCGTGGCAACACCGGTTCCCGTATAATCACCGAAGTTAAGCAACATTGAGACTGTTCAGTACTTAGTTGGGTGACCGCTTAGGAATACCAACTGCTGTAAT